TGCGGTTGTTGCTTCTGCTGCTGCTGTTGTTGCTGTGGTTTCTGTTGTTGCTGCTGCTGCTGTTGCGGCTGCCGTTCTTGTTGCTGCTTCTGCTGTGGCTGTTGCTGCTGTGGTTGTTGTTGCTGCTGCGGTTGTTGTTGCTGCTGCTGCTGTTGCTGCTGCTGCCCCTGGTTGCCCGTCGGCGTTTCCTGCGCCGGTGAGCCCTCTGCTGCAGCAGCAGCAGTGCTGCTGCGATTCTTGCTGTTGCTGCTGCTACGAACCCTGCCTTTGCCCCCTTTGCTGCTGCTGCTGCTGCTGGCAGGATTGCGAATGCTTCCTCTGTTAGTGGTCCACGGCGTTCTTGCTGCGGGGGGCTGCGTCGCTGGCGTTGAGCCGAGTCCGGTGCTGCTGCTGTTGCTGCTGCTGCTGCTGCGCTTCTTGCTGCTGCTGCTGGCGCCGCGGGCTTTGCTGCTGCTGGTGCCGCGGATTTTGCTGCTGCTGCTGCTGCTGCTGCCCGGAAGCCCTACGCAGCGTACGTACTGCACTTCGACACGATCGCCATCCACAAAGATCACCTCTCGCTGCTGCTGCTGCTGCTGCTGCTGCAGCCGCTGCTGCAGACTTGGCGAGTTTGCCCACAGAGACAATTCGGGGCTGCTGCTGCTACTGCTTCTCAGGGGATGGCTGTAACTGTAGGGCAGCTGCTGCAGCGGCTGCTGCTGCTGCTGCTGCTGGGGGCTTACGCCCCAAGAAGGCAACTGCTGCTGCTGCAGCGGCAGAGCCGTGCGTGGAGCAGCAGCAGCTGCAGCAGGATATTGGATGGGGCGCTGCTGCTGCTGCTGCTGCTGCCAGGAAACTCCTCCATAATGTATGTGACGCTGCTGCTGCTGCAGAAGCAGTTGCTGCTGCTGCTGCTGCTGCAGCTGCTGCTGCTGAAGCTGCTGCTGCTGGATCTGCTGCTGCTGGATCTGCTGCTGCTGGAGCAGCTGCTGCTGCTGCTGCAGCTGCTGTTGCTGGTGCAGCTGCTGCTGGTGCAGCTGCGGGTGCTGCAGCTGCTGCAGCTGTGGGTGCTGCAGCTGCTGCGGGTGCTGCAGCTGCTGCGGGTGCTGCAGCTGCTGCGGGTGCTGCAGCTGCGGCGGGTGCTGCAGCTGCGGCGGGTGCTGCAGCTGCGGCGGGTGCTGCAGCTGCGGCGAGTGCTGCAGCTGCGGCGGGTGCTGCAGCTGCTGCAGCTGTGATGGGTGCTGCAGCTGCTGCAGCTGCGGCATGTGCTGCAGCTGCGGCGAGTGCTGCAGCTGCGGCTGCTGCAGCGGCGGCTGCTGCAGCTGCGCGTAGCTGCTGCTGATTTGCACAGGCTGCTGCTGCTGCAGCAGCAGCACCTGCCCCTTCCGTTGCTGCTGCTGCTGCTGTGGGGGAGGTGTGGGGGGCCCCTCACTCCTGGGGGGCCCCCAGGCGCCCCATGGGGTTAGGGGGCCCCTGAAGGCAATGGGGGCCCCCGGGCTTTGGGGGCCCCTCTGCTGCTGCATGCTTCTTGCTGCTGCTCCGCCGTTAGTGCATTATTAACTTGTTGCAGCAGCAGCAGCAGCTGCTGCTGCTGCTGTCGCTGCAGCGCAGGCCACGCTACTGCTGCTGACGGGGCTACCGTTGCTGTTGCTGCTGTTGGTGCTGCTGTTATGGTTGACACTGCTGCTGCTGCTGCTGCTGCTGCTGCTCCTGGTGCGGCTGCTGCAGCAAACACTCGATATGTCTTCTGCGGCTGCTGCCGTGTCTGCAGCAGGAAAATGACTGCGGCGCTGCTGCTGTTGCTGCTGCAGCTTTAGGTGCTGCTGCTGCTTTTGCTGCTGCAGCTCAAGAAAATTACTGCGAGTGCAGCCTCGGTTGCTGCTGCTGTTTCTGTGCTGCTGCTGCAGCAGCTGCTGCTGCTGTGTCGCAGCTCGAATTAGGACAAGCTAAAAAGAAAATTAAATTTTGACTTTCAAAGTCAAAAAAGCGTTAAAATTCTGCAGCAGGAGGTAACACCGGAGCAGCATGCAGCTCCAGCAGCAGCAGCAGCAGCAGCAGCAGCAGCAGCCAGTGCTGCTGCAGCCACGCCAGCAGCAGCAGGGCCGGCTGCTGCGCTGGTGCTGCTGCATGTACAGCTGAGGGGCTCCCCAGCAGGTTCTTTCTTTCCCTTTTTTACGTTTTCAGCTTCTTGGGTTTAGCAGCAGCTATTAAGTTTTTTGCTGTTGCAGCTGCAGCAACAAGTGGTTGCTGCTGCAGCACCTGGCCCCGTCCGTGCCTGCTGCTGCTGCACCTTCGACCGCAGCAGCAGCAGCAACAGCCGCTGCTGCTCCTCTCGCCCTTTTCCCTGTGACTTGCGTTATTGTGCCGCTATCTTTTGATTGTTGCTGCCGCGGGCCGCCACTGCAGCAAAAACAGCAGCAACAGCAGCAGCAGCGCCAGCCCCACTGCAGCAGCAGCAGCAGCAGCTGCCACAAACCCTACCCGCGCATGCACGGCTGCTCCCCGCAGTTTCCCTCGTCGAATTCCAAGATCTAGGTGCAAACAGCAGCGGAAGCAACAGCAGCAGCAGCAACAGCAGCAGCAGCAGCAGCAGCAACAGCAAAATGGCAGCCCTGGGAGCAGGCCGGGAGGTCCAGCCATCGCTGGCCTACCGCACAGTGCTCTGTAGATATTTCCAGGTGCGTCAGATGCGACATTTGCTGCTGCTGCTGCTGCTGTTGCTGTTGCTGCTGCTGCTGCTCCTAGCCACTCGGTGTCTTGCTCTTCTCTGAAGGCCTAGCCCTTCAGCAACTCCCCATCCTCTCTAGTCCAGTGCCGAACTTAGGATTCAGGGTTTAGGGTTTAGGGTTTAGGGTTTAGGGTTTAGGGTTTAGGGTTTAGGGTTTAGGGTTTGTCTGCAGAGCGGCTACTGCCCCGCTGGGGAAAGCTGCACTTTCATTCACTCTTCAGAAGACAGCATCACCCCGGCCACGCAGCAGTGCAAGAATTTCCTAATGGTATGCTGCTGTTGCTGCTGCTGCTGTTGCTGCTGTTGCTGCTGCAGTTTGCGTTGCTGCTGCTGCTGCGAGATGTGTTGCTGCTGCTGCTGGTGCTGCGATATGTGTGGCTGCTACGGCGGGGTTCGGTGTGGCTGCTGGTGTTGCTGCTGCTGCAGCTGCAGCAGCACGTTTTTGCTGCTGCTGCAGCAAAACGTTGTGTTGCTGCAGCTGCTGCTGCGGCAGCAGCATCTTGTGCTGCGGCTTTTGCTGCCGCTGGTCTTGCCGCTGCTGCTGTTGCTGCTTGGACTGCTGCTGCTGCATTCGATTCATCATCATACTGCTGCTGCTGCTGCACGCATGCTGCTGCTGCTGCTGCACTCGGTGCTTTAGGCAGCTGACTCGGGTGGCGTGGCCCTGCCAGATCCTAGGGTTTACGGTTTACGGTTTAGGGTTTAGGGTTTAGGGTTTAGGGTTTAGGGTTTGCGATCAGGGCTCCTGCAAGAATGGCATTAATTGCCCATTTGCCCATTCAACCCCTCACTCCTCTTCGAGCCAGCGGCAGCAGCAGCAGCGGCAGCAGCAGCAGCAACAGCAACAGCAACAGCAGCAGCAGCAGCAGCAGCAACAGCAACAGCAGCACCTGCAGCAGCAGCAGCCGCACCTTACCTACGGAAGCCGACCAAGCTCCGCTACGGGAGTGAACGTGGACTACAAAATGGGTTAGTTGCTGCTGCTGTTGCTGCTGCTACCTTTGCTGCTGCTGCTGTTGCTGCTGCTACCTTTGCTGCTGTTGCTGCTGCTGCTGCTGGACTCATGCGAACGGGCTGTTTTTTGCTGCTACAGGAGGCGTTGGAGCGTATTCGTCTTGGCTGCAACCAGGTGAGAGGTTGCTGCTGCTGCTGCTGCTACTGCTGCTGCTGCAACTTGAGTTAAGACACTTTAGCTGACAGAAGCGAAAATGGCGCATGTACACATGCTGCTGCTGCTGCTGCTGCTGCTGCTGCTGCTGACACCCCACGGTGACAGGTGCGACGGTCGCCAGCCCTCACCACCGGCTGCAGCAGCAGCAGCTGCAGCAGCAGCAGTTGCAGCAGCAGCAGCTGCAGCACCAGCAGCTGCAGCACCAGCAACTGCAGCAGCAGCAGCTGCATCAGCAGCAGCTGCATCAGCAGCAGCTGCACCAGCAGCAGCAGCTGCAGCAGCAGCATGTAGCCTATGGGCACGTCAATCCCTACGGGGATTTAGACGGCTACGGGGCGCAGCAAGGAGCCCCACAGTATTCAGTTGCTGCTGCTGCTGCTGCTGCTGCTGCTGCTCCTGCTGCAGCGTACGGTCAGCTGCCGTATGCAGCAGCAACTGATCCTGCTGCTGCTGCTTCAGAAGCAGCAATGTATCACCAGTCAAGATACCTAGCAGCAGCACCAGCAGCAGCTCCGGTAACAGCAGCAGCAGCACCTTACGGCGGCTACCCGGGCCATTCGCCCTATGCAGCAGCAGCACCAGCAGCAGCAGCAGCAGGCCCTTATGCAGCAGCAGCTGCTGCTGCTTACAACTCCCCACTGGCCCACCCCAAGGCCAAAACCAAAATGTGCACTTTCTGGCCAGTAAGTTGCTGCTGCTGCTGCACTTGCTGCTGTTGCTGCACTTGCTGCTGTTGCTGCACTTGCTGCTGCTGCCGCTGCTGCTCTTGCTGCTGCTGCAGTTGCTGCTGCTGGCTGCTGTTTGTTTTCTTTTAGGTGTTCGTTACTTATTCTTCATTTAAAACTAATTTTTAATATTTATTTTTTAATTTACATTTATTCTTTTTTATTTTTCTTTTTTGCTGCAGGACAGATGCAGAAAAGGAGACCAGTGCCCGTACATACACGGCAGCGATGACCCACTACACGGTCTGCTGCTGCTGCTGCTGCTGCTGCAGTTTATTGCTGCTGCTGCTTCTGCTGCTGTGGATTGCTGCTGCTGTTGCTGCTGTGAATTGCTGATGCACGTTGCTGCTGCTGTTCTAGCTGTCGTCAGGGTTTAGGGCTCATGGTTTAGGGTTTAGGGTTTAGGGTTTAGGGTTTAGGGTTTAGGGTTTAGGGTTTAGGGTTTGTGAGGTGCATGTACAGTTGGGGGCCCCGCAGCGCGCATGCAAGCAGCAGCATATGCGTCCATGGCAGCAGCACACAACCAAGCAGCAGCAGCTTATTAGTGAGTTGTTATTTATTTATTTATTTAGTGTTTATTTACTTATTTATTTATTTATTTATTTATTTATTTATTTTTTAATTTATTTGCTGATTCAAAGAGAACAGCGGCATGAGCGCAGCTGCCTCTGCTCGAATTGTTTTCTTTTCCTTTTAATTATTTAATTTATTTAATTTAATCCATTCAATTCATTCAATTTAATTTAACTTAACTAATTCAATTTAATTTAATTCAATTAATTTTTGTTTTTCAGCCCCCCTCCTCCTCTGCATGCAAAACGCCCGCGGCCGCCGCCGACCGTCATCGGCACAAAGTTCTGCAAATTCTTTCTTGTTGTCGGTTGCTGCTGCTGCTGCTGCTGTTTTTGCTGCTGCTGCTGCTGCTGCTATTGTTGCTGCTGCTCCTGCTGCTGTTGTTGCTGTTGCCGTTGCTGTGGCTGCTGTTGAGGTTGCTGTTGCTGCTGCTGCGGCTACTGTTGAGGTTGCTGCTGCTGCTGTTGCTGCTGATGCTGCTGCGGCTGCTTCTGAACTTGCCGCTGCTGCTTTTATTGTTGCTGCTGCTGTTGGTCTCGCTGCTGCTGCTGTTGGTGTCGCTGCTGCTGTCGTTGTGGCTGTCTTTGCTGCTGCTGTTGGCTTTCGCTGCGGCTCTTCGCGTGCAGCCATTTGCTGCTGTTGCTGCGCTCACGAGTTGCTGCTGCTGCTGCTGCTGCTGCTGCAGGGCCAGTGCACTCGGGGCGTAGAGTGTACATTCTCTCACGACCAGCGGGTGAGGGAGAGAGAGGAGCAGCAGAAGAAGCACCAGGAAATGCTGCAGCAGCAGGAGAAGCAGCAGCAGCAGCAGAAGCAGCAGCAGGAGAAGCAGCAACAGCAGCAGCAGCTGCCGCCTGCAAAACGGTCCCGCATGGCGCCAGCCCTGAATAATGGTGCAGCGCAACAGCAGCAGCAACAGCAGCAACCACAGCAGCAGGAGCAGCAGGAGCAGCAGCAAGAGCAGCAAACGGCTGCAACGGAGCAGCAGGATGCTGCGGGTTGGACGCAGCAGCAAGGGGAGGGGCAGCAGCAGCAAGAGCAGCAGCAGCAGCAAGAGCAGCCGCAGGAAGAGCTACAGGGAGGCGCAGCAGGCACACTGCTGCCTGAGGAGCAGCAGCAGCAAGAGCAGCAGCAGACGGAGCAGCAGCAGCAAGAAGGAGGTGCAGCAACTCAAGAAGCAGCAGCATGAGCTTGAGGGAACCCAAACTGGGGTGTACGTACACCTCAAGGCACTCTTTAATTGCATTTCCTTTTGCATAGATGCTTCTTATTTGAGCATTAAAATAAAAAACCAAATTACTATTATATTTAATTATATTTGCATTAATTGTTTCATTTATTCTGCATTGAAAATGTTGAGTTGGGCCTGCATGAAGTCACTTGGGGTGTATGTACACACAAAAGGCGATAAAAGAAGTGAAACAAAATTGAAGAAAAGAATAAAAAGAAATAAATGCAAAATTGAATATCCTTGATGAAGTATTTATATACTTCATTTGCTTTTGAGTGGTGTAGATAAATAAAAATGAAAGTGCAAAAAGAAAAGAAAGAGTTTCCCCTGCGTGCGTGCCTCCAGGTGTCTAGACACCCGAGAAGTGCAAGTAAAGAGAATGGAATGCAAGTCGGAAAAGTGGAAATGCAAATAAAATAATTGAAAATAAATTGGCAAAATAAATAAAGTGAAAAGTAAACAGTGAAAAGTAAACAGGAAAGTGAAGGAAGCAAATTCAAAAAGATGCAAAAGTGTTTCTGTATGGACTTTTCGGGTGTAGAATGCGGAAAAGTCCAAATGAATGCATGCAAGCATAATTCTGGATCCAAATGCAAATATATATAAATATAAATGCATATTTTTACTTTTAATTACATTTATGAATTAAATTCTCCTTTTGCGGCTGCCGAACACAAAAAGATTTAAAAATTCAAAAGAGGCTGCGTTGGGGTGTACGTACAGCTGGTTGAACTGTTGCAACTTGCGGCTTTCAAAGACCCTGACTGCTTTTGCATTTAAATATAATTCCTTTCGCTTCTTGTTCAAATAAAGATTGTAAATTGCAAGTTGAAGTTGGGATTTATATTTACAGGATGTATTTCTGGTGTCTGTACACTGCGCGTGTGTGCTGGCTTTCGGGTATACGTACACCGCGCCTGCGCCCTAGGGTTTGTAGAAGTCGATTTAAATTCATTTCCAATCCTTTCAATCTTTTTCATTTATTTATTTCAGAATATTTATGGTCTTTGTTTGTTTTGCTTTTGCATGAAAGCAAAAGGAAAGGGCTTTCGGCAGTTTCGCTGCGGTGTACGTACAGCTCTTCTGGCCTCATTTCGAAGTAATTCATTTTATGGATTTGAATATATTTATATATTGCAGATATATAAATATATTTAAGCCCATTTAAAGCATTTATAAACTTAAATGAATCTAAATAGTCTTTATTTCCATAACAACTTCAGTAGCTCTTTAGGCTTTCCCTTCTAATCCCAACTGCAATAAAGAATGATGAGCTGTAGATACACCCCAAGTGCCGAGGCTTTCCAGATCTCTATTTTAAATGCATTTAATTTTAATTCTTTTTAGACATTTGTGAAGTCTTTTCGTGCTTTCTAATTTCCCATTTTTAAATGCTTCTTCATTGCTTCGGGTGTACGTACACCGCAGGGCCCCTCCGTGCTGCTGCTGCTCTTGCTGCTGCTGCTGCTGCTGCTGCTGCTCTGAATAAATGCACATTCGCTACTGGTAAAAAGAGGGTCTGGGGGGCGCAGCAGCAGCAGCACCTGCTGCTGCTGCTGCGGGGAATGGCGCCACAATCGCTGCTGCTGCTGCTTGTGCTGCTGCTGCTGCTGCTGCTGCTGCTTCAAGACAACTCTGACACGAGGTTTTCAGCTGCCACCGTTGGAAGTGAAAAATAAGAAAATAAAACATAACGGGGCTTTATTAAAATCTTTTATTATTTTAAAACCCTAGAGCATATATACATTTATATATGCTTTTTTTCTTTTCAAGGGTTTGCTAAGAAATAAACCCTAGGGCTGCTAAACCCTAAACCCTACTGCTACAGACCCCTAAACCCTAGGGCTACAAAACCCTAAACCCTGGCGCTACAAACCCTAAAACCTAGGGCTGCTGAACCCTAAACCCTAGGGCTGCTAAACCGTAAACCCTGGGGCTGCTGGACGTTAAACCCTAAACCCTAGAAAAGATTCGCAAAGAAGAAGCTGCTGCTGCAGCGCAGCAGCACAGCTGCAGCAGCAATAAAAAACAAAACCCTACTGGGGACTAAAATTGGGATTTTCAAAATAAATGAATAATATATATTTTGAATATTTATTATTTCTTTTTTGCTACTTTTTCAACAAACTGAAACTTAAATTGCAAAAATAAAACTGCCGACGTAAATGCAGTTGCACCGCCGTTCGGGTGTACGCACACCGCGGCTGCATGCACAATAAGCCATTTTTGTAAAACGCAAATTTAACTTTTAAATATCTTTAAAAGAACATTATATAAGTCTACTTGCAGAATATAAAAGTATATATATATGTAATGTAATATAATATGTGCATATATGTTGACAATATATATTTCTTTATTTAATTGATTTATATTTATAAATTAAACATAAATTGCTTGAAATATTTATTTATTTATTTATTATGTTTGTATGTGTTCTATTTGTTCATTTTGGGGCTGTGTGTAGACGCAGGCCAACTGAGGAAAAAAAGAAATAAAGTAAAAAGTAATTCTTTGAATTATTCTTTTCAAATGATTCATTTCATACTTCTTAAAATGATTCATTTAATTCATTTCAAAACTTTAAAATAATTAATTTCAAAACTTTAAAATAATTAATTTCAAAACTTTCAAAATGACCCATTGCATGAGTACCGAGGTGTATGTACACCCGGAGCACACGTGCACAAAAACAGAAAGCAGAAGATAAATTGAAATGGAAAACCAAATTAATTAATTAATCAATTAATTAATTAATTAATATATTTATTATTTATTTGTTTGTTTGTTTGTTTATTTGTTTTTGAAATTCTTTTCATTTCGAAACTCCGCCGAATGTGGAAGGCAAATAAAAATTAAATGGAGGCAATGTTTGTTTATTTTATTATTCTTTGTTTTCTATCATCTCTTGTTATTGTTGTTTCGAATTATTTATTATTATTACTATTATTATTATTATTATTATTATTATTATTATTATTATTATTTACTATTATTATTATTATTGTTGTTTTTGTTGTTGTTGTTGTCCTTATTATTTTTTATTATTTATCATTATTATTACCATTATTGTTATTATTATTATTCATAATTATTGTTATTTTGATTATTATTTATTGATAAGTATTATTACTATTATTATTTATTGATCATAAAGTGCATTTATTTTGCAGTGTCTTTATCGAAGCGAAATGCGCCAGGTGGCTTTTAGGGTTTAAAGTCGAGGGTTTGAAACCCTTGAGGGTTTGAAATGAGGTTTTAAAGTTAAGGGTTTGAAACCCTTGAGGGTTTAAATGGGAGTTTAAAGTTGAGGGTTTAGGCTGAGGGTTTCAAACCCTTGAGGGTTTAGAGTGAGGGTTTGAAGTTCAGGGCTTTAGGCTGAGGGTTTAACATGAGGGTTTAAAATGAGGGTTTGGAGAGAAGATTCAGGTTAAAAGTTTAGGTCGAGAGTTTAGGTCGAGGGTTTAGAGCGAGGGTTTAGAATGAGGGTTTGGATCATAAGTTCAAAATGAGGGTTTAGAGGGAGGTTTTGAACGAGGGTTTTGAACGGGGGTTTAGAACGATGGTTTAGACTGGAATTCAGGGTGAGGGTTTAGGGTTTAGGGTTTAGGGTTTAGGGTTTAGGTTGTGGGTTTAGAGCGAGGGTTTGCGGTGTAGAGCCGACGGTGAGGGTTTAGGGTTTCGGGCGAGGGTTTGGGGTTTAGGGTTTAGGGTTTAGGGTTTGCGAGTCTGCTGCAGCGGCTGAGAGAACTTGGGGTTTAGTACCTTTTAAGTCTTCAGTATAAGAGACGAAAAGTATTTAAATAATTTTAAATAAATAAATAAAATATAATAAATAAATAAAAATAAATAGGAAATGCTAGTGTGTATATGTAAATGCATGCAATATTGTTTATTAGACAGTTTGCATTTTAAATATAAAAATATTTCAGAACTTTCGTATTCATTTATAAATGAAATGGATAAAAAAATACAATATAAATAAATATGTATATATTATGTATATATAATATTTGTGTTTATATATATATAAATAAATATATATACATAAATATATATATGCGTATATATATATATATATGTATTTATATATGTATATATATGTGTATATATGTTATATAAATATATTTATAAATATATATATTTTGATTTATTTAATTTGTTTATTATTCTTGAAGTCATAAATTAGAAGATTAATTTAAACGAAATATATTTACAATTTTATTTGCAGTATTATATATATATGTTTATATGTATTTAAATTCTATTTTATTTTTATTCAAACAAATATTTGAAAGTGTTTATTTGATGTCTAATGAATATATTTATTATGAATCCCAAACTCCACTTTAAATCTTTCTCTGATTATTTGGACTCATGATTTAAAATGTACTTTTGGATTATAAATGTACTTTTTATTTATTAATTTTGGAGTTTTAAATAATATTATTTTCTAGTTTTAAATTAACTTTTTGATTTGTTATTTTAAAATTAAAAGTTTACTTTTTGATTATTAGTGTTTTCATCGATTTATTTCGGAACAGAAGTGTACTTTTGGATTATTGATGTTTCTGATTTAAAATGACCTTTTAAATCTATTTTTTAATTTTAAATAAACCTTTTAATATATTATTTTTAATATAGGAGTACTTTTAGGTTTATTATTTTTAATTTTAAATGTATTTGTTTGCGTGCTTTAAATGCCTCAGTTTGTTTTGTTTAAATGGAGAGAAGACAAAAGATGGGAGAAGTCCACTTGCGAGGGAGAAAGAAAGAAATTGTTTTTTGTTTTATTGTTTCAATTTATTCTTTTTAAAATTAAAATTCAAATTCTTTTCAAACTTTTTCGCTTTTGTTCTTTTGCCAGTGTACCTCCAGGTGTACGGACACCTCGAGCCACCGCACCGGGCGGTGGTGAAACTCTCAGGGTCATTTCTTCTCCATTTCTTCTTCATTTCTTTTATTTTCAAGTTTAAATTTGAATTTAAAAGTTCAAATAAATGTTTTTAGTTTTAAATGCCATTTAAAAGGACCCACGGCCGCCGCAAGTGGGCTCGGGCAGAACAGAAGTGTGGGGGGAGTGCTCTGCCGCGGCTGGGCTGGAGACAAAGGCATTTCTTTCTTTTTTTAGTTTTAATTTTATAATTCTTTTATTTGTTCTCCTTTTTAGTATTTCAAGGTTGAAAAAACTCGAAGAAAACTGAAGAAGCCTTCGGGGGCTGCTACACTGCGTGTTGCGGCTGCTGCTGCTGGTCGTGGCTGCTGCTGCTGCTGCTGCTGCTGTGTTGCTTGAAGCACGAGAAAAAGCGGAACACGCTGGAGATATTGTTTTTTCTTTGGAAGTTATTTGATTAGATGAAACTAAAACGAAAACTTTTGAAGAACTGCAAAGACAGTTCTTGCGCTGTCCACTGGTCACCTGGGGTGTACGTGTAGACACCCCGCGGGCGGGTGGCTCTCCGGCGGGTGCGCGGGCCGGATCTTCGGGTTTTTTTCGGTTAAAATTACAAAAAAAGGATTTAAATGGATGAAATTAATCATTTAGAATTTAATTGGCCTTTAAAATCTCCAAAACAATGAAGTCTGGCCCCCGTTTCTCGCTCCTGCGCTGCTGCTGCTCCCCCCCGCAGCCGACAGCAACCAGTACCCTCCTTGGCTGCTGCTTCCTCGCCCTTGCCAGCGGCTGCTGCCTCACTTGGAGTGCTTTCTGTCCCTCCCTTTTATCTCTTTCAGAATTCCCATCCAAAAGTACCCTTGGGGCCCCTCCCTTGGGGCCCCCCCCGCTGGGGGCCCCCCCCCTGGGGCCCCTGGACCCGCTGGGGGGCCCCCCCCCCCCGGGGCGGCG